ATCAGGTCAGAAACTAGAAATGAAATTTTGAGACATCTGAGGGTGTAAAACATTATGGAGCTTTTTGTGTCTTGCGATTAAACTTCAATCTGTACCTTGAAGGATATCAGTATCAGGCTGTACATCACTGCAGATCTTAGAAAATCTTAGCCCAAAGTGGTATTTTTGCAGTTACAAGCAACAGCAAACAACTTTGGAATAAAAAGGGATAGGGCAGCTTAAGTACTATGGCAGTACTTGCAATCATGAAGTCAGTCATACTGACTTGTAAGCCAAAAGCAATTAGCTGTACTTTGAATTCAGTATGAGTGTTTTCCTGAGTGAGGACCAACTGCAGCTCTGTGGTTTAGATAAGCTGATTTTAACTTCATAAATAACTGTCTTTAGTGTAATTTTGCTCCTATTGGGGAATTCCAACTATAAGAAAAACCCCAAAGAATTTTATGTGTCTTTATAAACACAAATATATATAAATAAATGTAAACTATGTTTCAATTTAAATTGCTAATAGTATTTCTCTGTAGATTTTTTTTTAGGTTATAAAATCTGAGACTTTCAGATTCAAAGCTCTGAATTAAAAAAAGGTTAAGACTTCGTTCTGCTTGTTTCCAGTCACTGCATCCAGATTAAACAGCCACACCAAAGCTGGAGGGGGGTGTCCCAGACCGAATACAACCTAGAAAACCTGAGAACAGGTACCGCGACGCAGGTCTCTGCAGCAATAAGAAAACAGTGCTTACACAAGCGGTGGTACAGTACCTGCAGCCTGCGAGATTGATGGGAGCTGTGTATCCAGCCCTGAAGAAGCACGGCACCTTACACAACTTGGGGAGTTGTGTAAGCTCGCTAGAGCGTTATGTATCCTGTCTTCATGTGTCTCCACCTACGCAATTACTTGGGGTCAACTTTGATTACAGTGAAATTATGTAATCCCCTCTATAGACAAGGATAATTGAGTTTCCCACAGAAGATATCTTTTTTTTTTTTTTTTTTTTCCTGTGTTCCAATTTGTGCCCATTCTGTGCACTATCCATCGGTATATTTTTGTCTCTTAAGTGACCTTTTCATCTTCTGGACTGTGCGCTCTCAAACAGCCTGGTCATTTTTGGACTGTGTATTTTCTAAGATTTTCCTGGTCATTTGTGGATTATACATTTTCCTAGATAACCTGGTAATCTGTGGACATCATGATACGTTTTTCATCTTCAGATGCAGACCAATGTTCTTTTAAGGGACTATCCTACTGATGCTTTTCCAGATGTGGTTCCTGATAGCTTTAATACAATCTGGCTTATGCAAGGGGACCCAGATGCCTCATGGCCTGTGGAAATTCAGGTCACCTATGAACATTAAAAGGATATGTGTAAAAAGTACCTTTCAAATTACTTGTTACTGACATCTTAACCTGTATCTGCTTATAATAATGTCAGTGGTAGTTACCGAACACCTTAACTTAAAATTATTTTGATTGCCTTCAGCCTGTGAGGAATTCCAGAAGAAGACCTTGTACACTTTTGTCGTATATTCTAGGGTGCATGTTATTCAGCCTCTCGTGCGGTCGTTGCCTGACATCGCAGATGTTTACAGCTGGGGCCGGACCTCATCATCAACTGTTTGTTTTTCAGGATAATCTGGGTGACGAATGTCTGTGTCCCGTCCCTCCCCCCGGACTGGGGGACATCCAAGTCCCAGCCCGCCTTTCCCGGTCGCTGTTTATCCCCATTTCCTACACACACCACACACACACTCCCTCCTATTTTAGGGATTCAGTACCCCGCGGCGGCCCCCGCCCCCTCTCCCCCTTTCCC